AATATTTGGAGGATAAAGAAATCCTGAGGGCTTTTGACAAGTCCTTTGTTTCACTGGCTAATGATGAACGTTTATGTTTCAAGACTGTTTAGAATTTAACTTCCAGCTGTGGGAGTAACAAATGAAATTATGCAACTTTGGTAACATTTTTCCTCAAACATAAATTTACTTTTGAGATTGAACGGGATTTTGTGTGTGGGGGGGGTTAATTTAAAGAAAGATCTAAGCCCAAGTCCCATTTTCTGCACTTAAAATATATAACTGTAAAATCCTTCTCTTAGATATAAATATTTTAGTTTGTTTTTATTTAAAACATTGTACTATTTTACTTTTATGGTGATGGGACTTTGCTACTAATACAAGGATAAAAATATTTCGGAGGCATTCCACTGGGTTTAGAGTCTGTCACAAGAGTGCCATATTCTAGCTACTGTATTTATTTACTTTATCCTGCAATGTGTAAGCGGCTCAAGTACCTTGTGCTACAGTTTTTTTGTATCCCAAGTTGTTTTGGTTTTTGGTTTTGGTTTTTGGTTTTTTTTTTGCACAGGATGTGACCGCTGTCGGATCACTGTTTTTCTTTTCTTTTTCTGTGATTGAAAAGCCTATACTGCAATTTGAAGTAAATGTTTGCTTTTCTTAAAAGTGTGTTGTCTCTTTGTTTTAAAAGAAACTGGCATTTACACCAGATTAGCATGCTTGTTCTGATATAATTTTAGATACAAGCTTTGTTTCATGTCTTGTTCCATATTTACTTTAGCTTATGACTCTTAGATCACTTGAGTGATTATAGGACAGTACTGTTACTGAAATGATTTGTAATGTATTGAATTAGAAAATGAATGCACTAATCCTCACTCTAATGGCAAAAAACCCCACCCCTCTTTCAAAGAAGCTTGGTTTTTCCTTCATCTTCCTTCTACCCTGATCATAAAAATAAACTTTTTACTGGTAGCATAACTTAAAATTTTAACCTACAGAATGACTTTTTGTGGCTAGAAAAGCATTATAATAGATTCAGTCTTGATATAAGTATTTTTAATAGATGATAATGTCTAAATATTCACTAATTGGAAATAGTGTTCTTCCTCAAAATAGACTTGCAGCTGTTGTCATCAGTGTCTTCTTTCTTCCTTGAGGAAGGCAGTGCAAGGAACAATCACCCTGGGAATCTTGAAAAGAGGATGCCTAAGATCTCTAGGGGGAGTTGGAGACCTAATGATAACTCTTTTGCTTGAAAGCACGTGGATACACATCTTTTCACACCGTAGCCTGAAAGCGTAGCATTGGTATTGGCTTTGGGCCATGCTGTCACGATGGTCATCCTGTTAGTTCATGAGGAATTGTCGTAAACAGGTACTGGGATATTTCTGCACTTACTTTTGTGCCTTGGCCCGCATGCCATGCTCAAAATCTGGGGATTTCATGGAAAACAAGGCAGTTCAGAAAGTGTTGTATGAATCTCTCTGGTAAGAGGTTATTTTAACTGTTCTCTTTTTACCTCTGGAGGTTCCCAGACTTGGTCAGGAAGAAGGGCTGCAGACAGGACATGAGCGCACCACTGAGTCCGCTTTACACATACGATTCATCCGTCGCTCTGTCTGACCCTGGGCCTGCTCAGTGTGCCCATATTGCTCGGACTACCAGGGGGCTGGAAATCTAATTGTGTAAAGGCAAAGACTGCAGCGTGTGTCCCTCATCTCTTCCCGCAGGATGTTGTTCCATGAACCGCTGAGCTGGTAGGGCCTGAACAAGATAACCTTGAAGACCGAAATGCTCTCGTGTCTTCAAGCAAAAGTTTATTTCCAGCAGTTCTGAAGCCTTTCAGAAATTGAACAGCTTTGTCAGTGTTCCTCCTGTCAAACTATTACCACCTTTGGCAAGCCAGGCTGTAGTTGTTCAGTATTGTTGTAGTGTGTTCAGTATTTCAATACGATCTCAGAACACTTTATTAATAAAATCCTTAGTATTCTTTAGTAAAGACAGATAGTAAAAACTGACAATGCATGCTGAGGAATCTCTTGACCGAACTTAGGTTTTGAGAAAGTACAGTAACACATAGTAAGTTACATAGTAAGTCCCTACATGTTGATCTTTCATGGGATTTGACTGCTTTGTGCTCTGCACTTGGTCTTGGAGTCCCAGAAATCCAGAAGTGCAGATGAATGCCAATTTGTCTTAGCTTGGAAGTGTTACTGCCTAGTCTTTAAACAAATTTAATGAAGTACTCCTTTCCCAGCACAAGTCTCACCTGCTGAATAAGGTATGTCAGTCTAGACAAGAAATAAAATTTCAGTCTCTTAAGAACAATGTTTGCCTTCTTACAGGGTGAACTTAATTAATGCAATTCACTTTAAATATGTCAAACTAAGTTGTGCTGTGTTTTCCAATGGAAGATGAAACAATAACAAGTAATTCAACGAGCTCAATCTCATTATTTATAAAAAATGCTTGGGCTGAATTCCATTGCCTTTTTTTTTTTTTGCTCCACTCTTGATCATTAGGATGAAACAAGTAATTCAACTAGCTCAATCTCATTATTTACAAAAAATGCTTGGGCTGAATTCCATTGCCCTTTTTTTTTTTTTTTTGCTCCACTCTTGATCATTACCACCTAACAGGAGGTTGGAAAGGTTTTTTTCCAGGACAGTTGAATCAATAGTGAGATCTTTCCACAAAAATTGAGGCATGGGGTGGTGAAAATAGCAACTGAGGAATTAAGTTGCTCTTACTAAAGCATGGAATAAAGAACTTATCAGTTTTTATAAGTAAAGGCCCTTTATTTTTCCTACAAAGAAGATTGAAAACCTATAATGACCCAGAAAGGGAAACTGGATCACTTCATTTGAATTCTGCATAGTAACCCCTAGAATCAGTATTTTCTTTGGCATACAGGATTGGTGTTTGCAGTGAGGTGTATTTCATTTTATCAGCAACAAAGAACAGCTGAATTCTGCATTGAGAACACATTTCCAGTAGAGTAATTCTTAATCATTGAGTTGGCACTCCCAAAGGTATTCTCAAAATGCCATATGATCATAGCAGTGTTTTTATCCCAAAGTGGAGTATTTGAATTTATCCTAGTCTTCCAAACTATCTAATTGAAGATACTGCTTTTCACAAGTATCAAGAATTTATGTTTGCCAGCGTTTTTCCAATATGGGATTCAGAGTAAATAAAGATCTGTCTTCTCACAGCACTAATGAAGTGGAATCAAACATGCCTGTATTTTTATATTGAAGACTTATTTTAAATGTGATTGATTATTTTTGATGATTAAAAACTCTAAGCAACTACAAGCTTGGTAAAATGAAACATGGGATCATAGTGGATCAGAGGAGGATTTGGATGATTAAGGATGTAAGTTTTAGTTACTAAAATACAGAACTTTAACCCTTCAAGTCATTTGATTGAAATGCGACTTTGTAGACTGCTGCAAATAGACGTCTATTTAGAAATGGGTTGTGAAATTCTAGTAACTTGTTGTATGGTTGAGTGTAAGTGCCATCTGCTGGTAGTTAAGTAGCAGGTTTCGTACTGGAAAAAAATCTTAAATACTACTACCACAGACGATCTCAAAAATTGTTTTCTCCTGAATGGAATAGATGATACAAATCTTTTCTCATCGAATGTATTATGGCAGTATCAAGACTTAGCTGTATGGTATCAGAGATCCTTCCTGTAAGTCACAAGATCTAGTGAGTTACTTCCATGTGGATAGCTGTCAGATAGGGGATGTAATCAGGACTGAAAACTTAGCACACAATGATGCAGGAATCAAGCTTGAATTCTGGTAAGTAATGAGCAAAGCTTTAATGATTAGAGGTGGAAATCATGATTTTCCTGAATGTAAGAAAAGCTATATGGATTCTTGAGGAAAAAAGTAATACAAAACAAATGTAGTAATTAGGTTTCATGTGACACTGGACAACCAATGGTTTTATAACAAAAGCACTTACATAAATTGACTAATTTTGCTGGAAAGTTAGCTATTACAAGGCACTGAAATACTGATGATGTAGGATTTATTTAAATATAAATTGTTTTTTAGTATTACCATATTGATAGTAAGGGTTTGTCACGTAACTTAGTGTACATCGGGGCAAGTTAAACAGGTCTGTAATTTTAGTATAGCTGTTAGAGAAAGGTTAAATCAAATGACAACAGTTTGTTAACGGCAGAGGATTGTACAGTTACTCTGAATTAGTAAGCCTGCCAACTTACTACCCTGTGATATGTGTGTGCATGTAAGCATTTCACTCTTAAACGTAGCAAAGGAGGGGGGGGAATAGAAGCTGAAGTTTCTCCCAGACTATAGCTCAGTGCCTATAATACTGCAAGCACAACTTAGTTGTCTGAGTAAAGCTGGCTCTCCCCAAAAGGACAAATACTCTACCTCTAAAGACTGATTCCATAGTATTTTTAAACTCATCAGTTTTCATTTTAATCTGATCTGTAACACTAACCACTGTGTTCCTCAAACACAAAAACTGGATTTTTTTTGAAATTAAAAGTGTTCAGGGAGATAGAGGGATAGTAACTATAAATGTTCAGGAAAAAAAATCCTCTAAAATAGTCCAGCTCTGAAATGCTGAACAACTTTGCTCTCATTTTCAACTAGACTGACATTTAAAGAAAAACAAAACACCACAACTTTTATACAGCACCGCTTTTATAAGAGTGTTAGTTACAAAAACAAGTAAATAAAAAAATTCCCCTGAGCAAATTCAAATAGTCACACATTTTAATATAATTTCTTCCATCTGCATGGCATTAAAAGTTAATCCAGGAATAATGCTTTCAGTCATCCACTCCAAGTGATGCAAACCTATTAACATTGCACAAATGCTGAGTTTCTGACATAGCACACCTGATAACCTTTTTTTTCTTATTAGATGCTTTCTTCTTCTTGCAGGACTCAGACTTGGCCTTGGTCATCTGAAAAAAGTCTGGAGATACAGTTGACTCCACTGTATTTAACAAAACCTGATAAAGCCGAGTCATTTTTGGAGATAAACTAAACAGATTTTCCACTGAAGGGTTTGATTTAAGTTCTTGATACAGTCTGTGCACAAGGGTCCCAGTGTAAATCCTGCTCAAAGGAAGGAGAGAATCCCTCATTTAGAGTTGCACCTCAGCAGGCCAGGTACAGAAACATGCTGCTTAATGAAAAAACATATCTTAATTACATACAGTATCCAACAGCAGACTCCTAAGGGATACCTGTTTTACTACATATTTTTTCTCCATATTAATATCCTTAAAGAAGGGAGTTCAAATGTAGTAAAATTGGCCAAAGGAGTTTGGTGCAGAAAATAAACACATGAATGCATTCCATCGGGGGCTTGTGTGGAAAACAGATCTCTGAAACATCCTTACCTGCTTAGGTCTGGCTCAGAGAGAGGAGTGCAAAGTAGCTGGTTGAGATACAATCCCATCTGAAGACAGCACTGCCACTGGCAAAAACTGTGCGCAGCATCTAAATCAAAGTCTTTATTTTGCAATTTCTTTTCCTTCCATTTCAGAAATTCTTTATATGCAATACTGTCATCTTCAGCACATAAAACTGTGGTATCTAGGTTATAAATAAAAAAGTGACATGCAAATAAATGCTCTGCTGTGAACAGTACAAAAGTTATTATTTGCAATGTATAGGGTCTTCAAACCTGCAGTTCTATTTCACAGGAAGCATCAGTAATGTTTTCAGATGTCTCAAACAGAACTTTAAGATATAAAATTGAGTAAAGATTCAAGTATGAATATCCATGAGAATCTGAAATTGTAAATTCGGTAATTCTATTTGTTAGGTCATTTGCTACACTGTTCTGTGAGCGGATCAGTTCCAAACATGATTGCCATCTTGCTCCCACCCACTTGGGGAAGCAGGTGGCAACCACATCAGCCCAGTTCCTATAAACTAGAATCTATATAAACTAGAATCTAAAGAAACTGTCTAACCCTGGCATGTGTAATCTTTGCCATCAAATGAAGGACTCCTAGAGGAAATGCCACCATAACTCTAATCGGTGTAAATATTGCTGAAACAATTTCTGTGGTAATTTAGTACTTTCACATTCTCGCAACGCACAGGCAGACAAAAGGTGCCTGTGCAACTCAGCATTTTTAAGTACAGATGATTTTAGAAAAACTTGTGAGGAAAAAAAGTAAATCAGAATGCCTCAATAGTAGTTGTTCTCTTTTGATGCATAAGTATGTTAAGCTTATTTTTTTTGTAACTTTTATACCAAAATTAATCTTTTAGTCCTACAGAAAGCATTTATAAATGCAAGTTAATGTTTTACAAGATGGCAAAGTAATGTTTTACCTATATAAAATGTTAAATTGATAGCTAGCACTGTTTCTCTGCTCTGTATCAATGCAAAAAATATGACACCTCAGGATATAGTGTAAATCAATGTTAATTCATCTGAATTTGGACAACTCACCATAAATGAGGAAAAATGAATTATGGTATAGATTTTCATAGTAGCTGAACAACTAAAATTGTATTTTTTTTGGAGACATACCTGGATCATTTGTTATCCTTTGCAGTTCTCCAGATACTATCATTAGAAGTAAAGCCTTTAAGTGATGCAACTTAATTTTTGGCTCTGAACAACGTATCCAGTAACATGTTACAGCAATAGGGAGTTGTAAGTGACTGGGGATAGACTCTAGGAAACTCATTTTCACTCCTAGAGTCTCCAGAAAAAACATCTGACGGCATGACATGGGCATCTGAAAATAAATTAAGAAATCAGAGTGGAAAAATAAAGGTAAGAGATAAGGTGTGAGCAATTTCCAAAAGACAAATAAGCTTGTGCTTAAACTAGCTAGTACTTCATGTTTACAACAAAAATTTTAAATTAATTATAAAATATTTCCTGTTCAGATTATCTATGAAACTTAAATACTACTTGAGCTTTAAAAACTACACAGTTAAATGTAAAAGTAATTTTTTACAATTGCCTGAGGTTAGATTTCAAGAGGTGCCAGTTGTCTTCAAATCAGGTGACTAAATTTAAACTCCTATGTAAAAGCTGACTTGCTTGGAAAAATCTTGTAACCATAATGCATTAAGATTACTTTGGTATGGCATATATATAAAAATATATATAAAAACCTTCATTTTGTGCCTCTTATAAGTTACCCTTGTTTCGTGAGATGTAATGGTGATGTCTGGTCTTGATATGTTGAAATTACGCTTACCTGTAATCACAATGAAATCTTAAGTGTGAAGCTTGCATTTTTCACCTGCAATGTATTCATTCCTAGCATGCGTTCCCTCTTTGTTGTGCTATTTAACTTCTAAAAAACGGTATTATAAACTTTGTCCATACTTCATGCATGCAGTAGAATTGCAGCAGGCTGTTCAATTGTAATTTGAGTGCTCTGTGAACCTAGATTAGGATGGTTTTGCCTATTCTTAGGCAGACATCCTCACTGTGTAAGACAAACTGAAATCAGTTTTGCCTCGAGCACTTTAAATGCAGAATAACCTTTATTCTGACCTTCTGTTGAATTAAAATTCCCACATATTTAGTAAGGAGAGTTGTTATAACAGTGGAAGCTCAAATTCATTAAACAGCATACATACCAAGACCAAATTAAGGAGTCAATGTTTCTTAAAATCCCAAATCATGATTTTTCAAACTCCTAAGTGTTTGCATATTGCTCATTTATAAGGCCTGTAACAATAACCTGTGTAAAACAACCTGTATGTAGGCTTTTGGATCCACAGCGATCTATAGCATTTAATGGTCACAGCAGTGATAGACTTGGTTCTTACATGAAATAGCCACCAGCAAGCGATAAAAACACAGCAGGGCCTGCACACAGAGGTGTGTTAACAGTTGAACTGAATGCCAGACTGGATAGAGCATGTGGCTTAAATATGCAGTATTAAAAGACACAGCTTGCACTTCCAGATGTTTCAGAAATTACTGCAAACAAAACCTCGGTTATGCAACTTTGGGAATGGGAGATTACCTTCCCTTCACAGCAAGAGTTACCGTCTTAATCATTAGAATGTAAATATACAGAATTGCTAATGGTGACTGCAACTAACCTAGTACAACTTTCCTTTGATTACAAGTGGTTTTTCAGCTGCTCTTCTGTCTGGCAAGCAGCAGGGGTCCACGTTAGCAGGACACAAACTTGCGGCAGGTGAAATTACTGGGCAGCTACAGGATTCATACACGAAATAATGACGATTTTTAGTTAAAAAAAAAAAAAAAAGCATGGGTCAGGGCTCAGATTTTGTTTCAGAACATTGCTCTGAAACATCCATAGCTTGATGAAACGTAAATTAAGTTTTGTAGTGTTAAATTGCACTCTTCTAAATTTCATGAAACTGAGCTTCTTCCTTACAATTATAAAAGCAAGTATTAGTGTAACAATACATAGGATGAAAGAAGGGCTTAGAATGGAAAATTTAGGCAATATTACATACGCACACAACCAACTTTTCATATAATTTGTCTTGGTACACTTGGGGGGGGGATGTGGAAAGGACAGAAGATGAAGGCAATCTACGTAGCTTCTCAAGTATCACAGGCCAAGCTCAGAGCCCTGCAGGAACCTCTGTATTAAGTAGTTAGTTACTGAGGTGGCATCACATTTAGCGACCAGCTGGCAAATGAGTCCCAACTTACTTTCTGTCACTCACGAAACACTGTTAACTGTGATCTGTTGTGACAACCATTTACCTCCATTAACTTGTCCAAAGGAAAATGATCATCACAAAAATCTGTGGGTATGCTTGCTGCTTGAACAAATGTTTTTTTAAGTGTCTTTTGGAGTCTGTCAAATTCACATACAACTGGCAGCTCGTTGGTCTGCTTACTTGGAGAAGCAGCTTCAGTGTTTTGAGATACTTTCAGAAGCAATCCATAGATAACTTGTCGAATGGGCAAAGCTGCGCTATGCGCGCTAGGTCTCTGCATGTTCTCCACCTGAACGTGGAGGAAGGTACTTCTTAGTATCAGGGCATCGCTGATGAATGGGGCCAGCTTACCTTTTGCCAAAGCATCAAGTACCCACTGCGGTAAGTCTGAGCTCCTGGCTGCCTCACAGTCGTACTTGCCGTTCTGAAAAAAGGCCTCAAGATTCACGTCGGACGGAGTATAATCCTCCATTGAAGTGCACAGAAGCTCCCTTATCTCCTCTCTCTGGTGCTTCTTAAGGTATTTCAGCACGTTGTCGACAGCCTCGGTGGGCTCAGCAAATTGCGACAGCCAGTTCAGAAGCCCCTGAAGGCGGACGTGCTTCCCCCCCTTCCCCGCCGCCCACCCCCTCGGCGAGCGCACCTTGCTGAAGAACACCTGGAGAGCTGCCAGGTCGATGTAATCGTTCCCGTTCATGGCGGCAAAGAGAGGGAGCAGGCTTCTGTTCAGCTGACTGAAATGCCCGCAGAACTTCTCCAGGGAAAAGCAGCGAGCGGGAACGTAGCAGCCCTGCGCCCCCTCTCCCGC